GAGGAATCGACGCGGTGGTGGTGTAGATTCGTTGGGCCCCCACCCAAGCACGCACCCGTCTCAAGGGCCCCTGGCCCAAGGAGCCCCCAGGATCTCCACGGAGGCCCCCACGGCCTCCAGAGCAGCCCTCACGAGGCCAAGGACGTACGCGCCAAGGCACGCACCCATCTCAAGGGCCCCTGACCCAAGGAGGACCCCAGGATCTCCACGGAGGCCTCGCCACTGCCTCCAGAGCAGCCCTCACGAGGCCAAGAGGGCCCCGGGGGCTCCAAAGTTGAGCGAAAACCGGGGGGGGCACCTTGGGCCAGGGGCGCCTTTCACAACCCCCGAACGTCGGTCGGGAGAAGTAAGTAGAAACATGAAGTAGGAAGGCGGATAAAGTAGACTGAGTTCAGGCCATCCCAGATAATGACAAGACACAGTACAACAAATCGCCTCTTGAAATAGGAAGGCGCTTGAAGTAGCTTGGGATCTCGGAATCCAGAAATACATATTTCAACGACCGACGTGCACTCCAGATTTAGTAGTAGGAGGGAGGGGGTCAGATTTGGGGGGGTCTGGTTTGAGCTGCCTTGGAGGGTTCCAGTGGGGTCTTCGCAACAGGCCACCCTTTCATGGCTTGTTGGGGGGTCCAACATTGCCCGTCTGGGGGGGGGGGGGGGGGGAAACCCCTCACCTTCATTACGATTACGAAATGTAGAGCACACGAACACGGCCCACCAATGCGCGAGACTGGCCTCGTGATTCGAACGTTCGCGCAAGGCGTACTCCCGAAACCATCGTGCCCTCGTGTACGTGTGCAGTCGGGGCGTTGACCCAAGGAACCCTAAACAAGGAACGAGGCCCCTTCTATCCACAGGTTGAACTTCGATCTCCCATCGAAAACCAAAGGAAAAACCCAAGGCAAGTTGTGAAGCTATCAAGGAACACGGAGCCCCTCCCCAACGAAAAGGGTTCCTTCTTCAGCTCCCGAGCGTGACGGAGGCAGGGGCGTCCCCCATTTCGCTCCCGAGTGTGACGGAGGCAGGGGCGTCGGCGGCGAGCCCTGGGGGGGAAGCCGGAGGGGGGCGAGCCAGCTCCGAAGGCTCAAGCGGCGGCTTCTGCGAAGTCTTCGAGACCTTCCCCGGAGATGCGGAAGCCCAGGGGGCCACATGCGAACCCTACCCCATCCTCCCCCTTTTGGATAAATATTCCCAAATAAATACACACAAATAAAAATATTCCCTATATTTTCCCATATTTTCTGGGTTCTTGTCTTCCCCCCCACTTCCCACATTTTCCCATATTTTCCTGGGGATCGTCGATTAATTGTGTCTGTGTGTTTTTTCCCCTCCTGAGTGAGGGAAGCCGGAGGGGGGCGAGCCAGCTCCGAGGGCTCAAGCGGCGGCTTCTGCGAAGTCTTCAACCCTTCCCCGGAGATGCGGAAGCCCAGGGGGCCACATGCGAACCCTACCCCTGCCCCCCACGATTTCCGAGGGGGAGGGTGGGGTTCACTTCGCTCGGGAGCTCTCGAGCGAAGTGAACCCCAACCGCCCCCTCAGGAATCGTGGGGGGCAGGGGTAGGGTTCGCATTTGGTTTTCTAAAGCCTTCCCGGGAGGCGCGAGGGCTCCTGAGGAGCCCCGCCGCCTGCGGAGGAGGCCTGCTCCTTCGCGCTCCCGCTCGGGGCGCGCCGCCGGAGGACGGAGGCGGGGCGGGGATCGGAGTCGGCTGGGGATGATGAACTTCCCTCGGGCCCCCGCGAGTCGTTAGAATCACCCTGGCAGAGCTTGTGGATGCAATGCCAATGGACACCCAAACATTCCGATCATCGAATTGAAAACGTGTTTTACATGTGTAAAACATGTTCTAAAAATGTTTCGGACATGTTCTTATACATTGAAAAGCATGTTCGATAAATGTTTTAGACATCTGGACATTGTTTGGCAGCATGCTTCCTCTCCATGGATCGTCCTCCACAAACTTGCCTCGGACCCCTCGAGTCGTCAGAATCACCCTGGCAAAGCACGCTCGTGGCAGAGAAGGTGGTGATGCGGGTCGATCGGCGGTGGACAAACCTCCCTTTAGCAAACCTCCCCTCAATGAAAGCGGCCTGGGACCGAAACCGACGGACCTGGACCCGCAAGAAGGACGGCCGCGACGCCCTCTCGCGAACCGAGAACGGCCAATTCCTTGATCGACGTGTCAGGGTAGGAGGTCTGTCCACCTCCGACAAAGGCAGGGGTGGAGCAAGGGTGGGGCTGGCAGAAAAGTCGCTCCAAGCGGCCCCTGGAAGATGGAAACGCGTCAAATATGAGCCTCCATCTGGGCCCGCTCCCCAGCCCCACCTTGGGATAACCCTCCCTCTCGACGAGATTGGGACGGGAGGAAGTGGGGGAGGCCGGCTCCAGAGAGGAGGAGGAAGAGGAGGAGGACGAGGAGGAGGAGGAGGAGGAGGAGGAGGAGGAAGGAGGAGGAGGGAGGAGGAGGGAGGAGGAGGAGGAGGAGGAGGAGGAGGAGGAGGAGGAGGAGGAGGAGGAGGGAAGAGGAGGAGGAAGAGGAGGAGGAGGAGGAGGAGGGAGGAGGAGGAGGAGGAGGAGGAGGAGGAGGAGGGAGGAGGAGGCGGCCGGCTCCCGAGAACGTGGCGGGACGGGGGTCAGAGAGCGGCCCCGCACGCCAGGCAGGGGGGCCCAGCGCCGGCGCGAGAGGTCCGCTCGGACCTCCGGGGGTCCGTGTTTGCTCAGATCCGTCTGTTGCTCCCGTCGTACTTAAGGTTCGGTCGGGCCTGTCCCCTCACAGGGGAATGTTGGGCGACAAATGAAAAAAAGTACTCAGAAAATGCTCAAAAATGCCCAGAAATTGTCAACCAAATGTCCCCTGACGATTTTTTGACTATTCTTGAATACCTCCTGTAGGGGGACAGGCCGGACTTAAACTTAAGGACCACGTCCCAGAAACAATTTCGAGCACCCAGAAGAGTGACGAAGCAGTATCGAACGAGCACCGCCTCCCAGGGCACGACGCGTGAAAACCCTCAAGTCCTGGTCCTTCCTTGGTGCTCGAAATTCTTTCTGGTGCTCAAGGCTAAAGTGGGTTGGAACCTCACAACCCTATCCCTAAGATTGGCAAGCCGAGGGCGACGGCAATCTCAGGGATGCGCCCTCAGCAACTCAGGGAATCCTTAAGATCGGCACCGAGGTACAGTAGTGGCAGTCGTGAGGATAGTAATATGTGAAACAACTCAAGCTCGTATCCAGTCAGGAATCTCTGAGAGCCAACGTGCCTGGAGGGTGCATTAGGCGCCGCGGCCGTTCCAGAGCGTTCCAAAACGCTCTTAAAGCGTTCAAGAACGCTCTTGGGCGATGTGTCCCTCTGCTATCGAGCATCTTCAACCAATCCCTATCCCCCCTGGCGTGGCATTCGGCCCCACTGGCCGATGTACCTCCCTGAATGAGACTGTTCCCGTCGGGTGTCGAGGGGCATATACCCAACTGGGGGAGAGCGATGGTGCGGCTTAGATGCCGTGGCCCGATGGGGATGGTGATAGAGCAAACTAGGGGAACGAAAAATGGCATAAACATAAAACACTCGGAGGTCCGCGCGGACTTCTCGGATCGGCGCTGGCCCCCCCTCTCTGGCGCACTCCGCGCGCCAGAGGCGCCGCCAGGGGGGGGCCAGCGCCGATCCGAGAAGTCCGCGCGGATTTCCGAGTTTGATGTTTGTGCCATTGTTCGTTTTCCCTGGATCAGTCAGCGTCGAATCGGGAAACCGCGTCGGACCGAACGCACGCCAGATCGGCCCACATCCTCGCCATCGCTCGGACGTCCATTCCCTACGTCTTTTTGGTTTAGTGCGTGTTTTTTTCGCCAAATGATCAAGGCTGCTCCTCGATGGCCCTCGCCGAAGGAAAAATGCACACGTCCGAGCGATGCCGAGCATCGGCTCGGAGCCAGGGTGTCACATGCGGGCACGGGGATGCACGGCGGCGCCGCGCAGGCATCGGGCCGCCTCGGCTCGGCGGAGGATCGTTCGGTCGGGCATCTCCCCCTATGTACAGGCGGATTCTGAAGAAAAAGACAACATTGTCCAAACATAGCAAAACAATGCTCAAAAAAAAGTCCCCCGACTGTTTTCCCCCTATTTTGGAATGCTCCTCCTGTGGAGGGACATGCCCGACGTAAGACTCACCATGAAGGAGCCGAGTCCTGAGGGAAACGGGTCCTGGACCCTGGGCTTGTCTTCCCTGGGACCCAGCTCTTCATCCCGAGCCGCTTCTTGACGCTCCCTGCTGGGCTCGTCGAGGGCCGCCCCGGACGCCCACAAGCTGCCAAAAGCCTCCTCCAAGGACTCGCTTCCCTCGGGGCCCTGTCGGACTCGAGTCGCACCGGGCCCGCCAAACTCGACACAGGATTGACGAACGAACAACACACACCCATACCGTACCCATAGGGGGGTCGTTGGGAGGAGGACTGACTATGGGTATGGGTGCGGGTTGTCGGACCCTGGGGAACGCTCCCGTTCGAGCGGGGACCCCCATCCGACAACACGCACCCATAGCCCTCTCCGACCCCCCTATGGATATGGGTGTGTGTTGTTGGTTCGTCAAGGATCGGATCGACCGGATCGAGGACAAGCCCTGGCCTTCTCGGGCGCCGGCTTGCCAGACAGCGGCAGGGCGCGCACGTCCTGGGCGGTGTCTTTCTTCGGCTCTGGGATAAAGCCCAGGCCCTCGATGCAAGCGGCCCCAGTGCAGCGGAAAAACTCGCTGACCGGTATGCTCAGCCCCACGGACCCGCAGTCGAACAACAGCGGCTTCTTGAGCTCCGTGACCGTGCTATCCACCAGGAGGATGGGCTCCATGCCGGTCTCGTCCTTCGGGTGGCCGAAGGGCGGGATGGCGAAGATTGGGAACCCAGAGCTCTTGGAGATTTCCGAGAGCTTGCGCTGCTTGATGGACTCTTTGGGCCTCTGCACAGCTCGCGCCAGCTTGTCCATGTCCGTGTGGGTGGGGTGCGGTATCGTCACCAGGATGTGGCGCCCGCTCGCCTGAAAAGCGACCGTGTGCATGAACTGCCCATTCTTGGTGAAGCCGGTATTCGCCTTCAGGTACTGCTCCCAGGGGCGCTCGACGACGCTCCCTGCGCTGCTCGCCTCCCCGCCGCCCGCGCCCTTCACGCTGCCGGCCGGCGCCTGGGCCGCGCCCGCCTCCGTGCCCCTTGCCGCAAGCTGGGCCCTCTTCCGCTGCTGCTCCTGGGGCAACACCAAAAATAGGAGGCGACTACTGGGAGGTTGTCGTCGGAAAAAATAAAGAGGATTAAGCCCCGTTTGGGAGCTGTTACGCCGGAATGGGCCTCGGACCAAGCAGGATTAAGCCGGATTAAGCGGGATTTAGCGGGATTCAGCCGGATTAAGAGGGATTCAACCGGATCAAGCCGTATTTCGGACCAGGGCTAGATCAGAATTCAACCTCCCAGGAGTTGCATCCGAATTCACCCGTGCGGCTCTTGTGATCAGAACGTCGAGGCGCACCCAGCGGTGGTGACGAGGGCCCCCCAGGAGGCCCAAGGAGGCGGAAACGTGGGGATGGTGGCGGTAGCTTTTCCTCTGCTGCTGCTCATACGCAAAGGTAATCGACCGGAACGTGCGGTGGATGGCGTACCTCTGGCAGCGCACGCGGTGCTTGGCCAGGAAGTTCTCCACCTCTGGCAGCGCCTCGTCGGCAGGGCCCTTGCCGTCGCTCGGACGTCCATTTCCCGTGCATTGTTCGGTTTCGTGCGTGTTTGTTGTGCTCGATGGTCCAGGATGCTCCTCGATGGTTCTCGCCGAAAAAAATGCACACGTCCGAGCGATGCCAGGGGAGGAGGTTAGCACAGAGAGAAGAACGATCACGATTCGGCGGCCAGCCTGGGGGGGAAGTGAGGAGGGGCGGGCCTTCTCAGGGGGCTCGGAAGGCACCCAGCCTTCGGAGAAGTTTTCCACGCCTGCCCCGAAGGCACCCAACACCTCCCAGGAGGCCAGAGGCCTTCTGAGAAGCCCCGCCGCCTTCTGAGAGGGCCTTCTCCCTCTCACCTCCCCCCCGAGCGCGCCGCCGAATCTTGCGTTTGGGCGAAGGATTGCAAAAAAAACGAAGGATTGCAACAAAAAAAACGAAGGATTGCAAAAAAAACGAAGGATTGCAAAAAAACGAAGGGTTTTTGTTGCAATCCTTAGCTCGTGTCTCCAGCGGCCCTTCGGGACCATCCGGGCACCCCCGGAGCACCCTCGGCGAGGCGCGGCCGCTGGAACGCCCGCCGAGGCTGGAACACCACCGCGAGAACCGACAAAAGCGCCCGAAAAACCTCGACACAACGAGCCCGAGGCTTCCTCCTCCTCCTCCTCCTCCTCCTCCTCCTCCTCCTCCTCCTCCTCCTCCTCCTCCTCCTCCTCCTCCTCCTCCTCCTCCTCGGTCGCCGCCGAACAGGAGGGAGAACGGTCGCGATCACGATCACGATCGCTGTCGTCGTCGTTACCGTCGCCGGGTACCGTCGTCGTCGTCGTCGTCGTCGTCGTCGTCGTCGTTACCGTCGTCGTCGTCGTCGTCGTCGTCGTCGTCGTCGTCGTCGTCGTCGTCGTCGTCGTCGTCGTCGTCGTCCTCCTCCTCCTCGTCGTCGTCGGGGCCGAGGCCCCGTGGCGGCGCCCCGCCCCGACGGAGGCCGCCCCTCCCCAGCGGAGGCCGCGGTCGGCTCTGGACCGCCAGGGCTCTCGTGCAGTCCACGCTGGTACAGTCGGGTCGGGTGAAAGGGGGGGATAGCAAAGGGGGGGCCCTCGATTCGCGAGACCGGCCGCGTCATACGAACATTTGTGCAATGCGTGCTCTCGAAACCAGCGTGGATTCATGTACATGTACGTCCTTCGCCGTCGGGCGAGAGGTACCCCAAAAATACCCCAAAAAGGTAAGAAGACATTAAAAAATGGTCCCCAGACATATTTTGGATTCTCTGTGGACAATTTTTGGGTGTATGTATTCTTTTCCGTCGACACAGCCCCTGTAGGGGGAGAGGCCCGACTTAACCCTAGGTTAGAATGGGGCAACCTGATGCTCGGGTCGGGCGAAAGGGGGGGATAGCAAAGGGGAGGGATCTGAGAATCAGCTCGCGCAGCTGATTTTCCCGGCGCCTCCCGGCGCCGGGAGGCGCCCATGTGTCGAGGAGTGGGCCTGGCGGCGGGGCCGAAACCAGCTGCATGCGGCAAATTTCGTAACCCCCCCTTTCCCAATCCCCCCCTTTCGTCCGGCCCGATACAGTCGGCCTTGATTGGACAGGACCTTAGTGGGCCCCGGAAGCGGCAGTGCCGTTCTCTCGCCGTTTCCGGAAAAATTCCCCTTGAACATGGAAGCGGCAAAAAAACGGCGACCGGAAACGGCAACAAAAACGGCTCCAGGATTGGAACTGGAGCGGGAACCCGTAAAAGAACGGCGACGGAACCGGTAAAAAACGGCGTCGGAACCGGCAAAAGAACGGCAAAACGGAACCGGTAAAAAAAACGGCCCTGTCGTTTCCAGGGCCCACTAAGGACAGGACACGCGACCCTTCCGAGGGCCACATTGCAATGGGGGATGTAGGAAGCATGACTAGGGGAACAAAAAGTGACATAAGCATAAAAACCCGGAGGTCCGCGCGGATTTCTCGGATCGGCGCTGGGGCCCCCCGGCGGCGCCTCCGGCGCCGCCCCTGGCGCGCTCCGCGCGCCAGGGAGGGGGGTCCAGCGCCGATACGAGAAATCCGCGCGGACCTCTGAGTATTTATGTTTATGTCACTTGTTGTTCCCCTAACATTGCCGTGGGGGATGTAGGAAACATGGGTCGCGAGGCACGGGTTACAAGGGCACATAAGGGTGCCCTTGATTTGGCCGGGTCCACCTACTAATCAGAGCCGGCTGTAGCAAGGATGCGAGATGAGGATGCGAAGGGCCTCGGGGTCACCACGCCCCCAGCAGAGTTCGGGCTTGCCGGGAGGCTGGCGATGAGTTTTCCTGACCCTCGATGAGGTGCATCGCCCCTGCGGAGGCTGAGATCTGGGGGCCCCTCCTTCGGCAGGGTGCATGGCCTGTACCCCAAAAATCGGCTGGAGGGGAGCTGACACCCCAGTGGCTGGCATTTCTTCGTCTGTTGTTGTTTGTGTGAATTGGATTGGTGCATTAGTGCAGGTACGGAAGCTTGTCTTGTTTCGACCTGATGTGAGATGTGCAATGGCAGTATGTTATGGGATGGCTGTGCCATATGATGATGATTTTCACTGCGATCGTGTGTTAAGGTGAACTACCCCAGTGCAGACGCGGATGCAAGGATCTTGGACGACCCGAAGCATTTCGAGCGGGGCTGGCCATCGAAGGCGGTTGAGGATGGTCCGAAATCCCTGCTATCAGTGTTGACTGTACGGGGTCCCAGGAAGTCCCGAGCCTTCTCCCCAGGACCAGCGCCTTAGTGGGCAGGAGCCGTCCAAGGAGCCCAAGAAAGTGTATGCTCCTGCCGCTGTCGTCTTCCTGGATCGTGGGCGCCGCCGACCTGCAACGCACGGATCTCAGGGGGCCGCACATGTCTCAACCCACGCCCCCGACGTTATGAAGATTTCACAATGTCGACGCCTGGAGACCTCGGCCCAGTCCCCAGGATCTGCTTCTCACCCCGAACCGTTCCTCGGTCATCCTGGGGCCCGCGTGGGGACCCAGGAGGCAAATAATAGGCGAGCGCGCTCCACTGCTCGCAAGGCCACTGCCCGCAAATGTCCTGGATCAGCCGCGGAAGATCTACGCGAGGCGAACGTGTATTTTTCGGACGCCTTCGAGTCGGCACTTTGCTGCGAGCAGTGGCGCGCGCTCGGTGACGAAAAGCGGCGGAACAAGACGGCGGAGGCCCGCATCGAGGCGAACGTGTACTTTTCGGACGCCTTCGAGTCGGCACTTTGCGAGCAGTGGCGCGCGCTCGGCGACGAAACGCGGCGGAACAAGACGGCGGAGGCCCGCGGGGCGGCCCTGCCCGTACGACGCGACGTGCAGCGCGCGCGCGCGGCACAGGAACACGGCCGCTCCCGGCCCCGAAGAGGAAGGACCCGGCGAGCCCAGACGCGGCACCACCAAAGCTGCCTGAGAAATCGGCACCCCGACATCCGATGGCCTAATGTTTCGATGCGGGAAGGTGTTCCATACGCGCGGGACAGGACCACGGCCGCTCCCAGCCCCGAAGAGGAAGGACCCGGCGAGCCCAGACGCGCCACCACCCAAAGCTGCCTGAGAAATCGGCACCCCGACATCCGATGGCCTACTCCAGATTTCGTATTAAAGGGAGGGGGGTCTCATTTCGGGGAGGGGTCTCTTCCAGGCTATCTTGGAGGGCCTGGGGGGGTCTGGGGACGATGTTTTGGAGGGTTCTCCCACGGGGGGGGGTCTAAAACTTCTCGTCTGGGAGGGTTGAGACCCCCTCCCTTTTATTACGAAATCTGGAGTAATGCTTCCATGCGGGCAGGTGTTCCATAGGTGGGGCGTTTCATACTTTTGTTTGATCCGCGGGTCGAGAGCGCACCTCTGCCGGTCGAAGCTGAGCGGGCCGCGCACAGCTTGAATTAACGAGAGGGGGGCAGAAGGAGGGGCCTCACATCAAGGCCAGGAGGGGGCAAAGCCCCGGAATCAGGCGGTGCCGACTGGGACGTTTCATACACGGGATGCTTGAAACAGGTGGTCGTAGACGAGAGTGAAGGGTGTCTCTGGCGCGCGCGCCGAAATACGTGCGAGGCTTGAAAAGATGGCCGGACACCCATGAAAATGCGCCCCCGCGCGGGCGAAGTGAAAACATGGCCGCGCACCGCAGCCGTCGAACCATGGCGGGCGCGCAAGCGCGTGTGCAAACCGTGTCTTAAGAACTGAAGGAGCCCTGGGACACACAAAAATAAATAGACACAACTAACAGGATCCCCCATATTCTCCCATAGTTTCGGGGTTTTCGTCTTCCCCCCATTTCCCAGTAGTTTCCCATATTATTTCTGGGGAGTCGACGATTCATTGTGCCTGTGTGTTTTTTCCCCTCCTCAGAAAAA